TTGAGGGTCTAACTCCTGCAGACCCATCAGTGCACTCATTTCCACCTTCTCTTTCTGCAGTAATTAGTACCTCCAGTTCAAAAGCCTTCCTGAAATTCTGCACGGCGAATGATACTTGCTTTCCATTGCTTTCCCCTTTACAGAGACACTTGGGTTTCACCTTCTCTGTTCTGAGTCATTTCACCATTTTTCTTTCAATGTTCTTCGACCCTAAGCTATAGATGTCTTCTAGTCAACGTGTAAAAAGTGTTTCTATTTCTTCATATTCTTATTTTTCTAATGTGATTTTTTTTTTAAGATTTTATTGGGGAATTGGGGGAGGGGAACAGCGTTGGGGAATTGGGGAAGGGGAACAGACAGGTTGCTGCCCTTTTGTTCTTCAGTCTAGTTGTGGAAGACGTCGCTTCACTGGCCCATGTTGGTATTATCATTGTGCTCTTCCCGACTGAGGCAGTTGCTCGCCGGTCACTGGACGGCTGCTCATGTCAGCTGCCGGCTGCTCACGGCGAATCACGGCAACCCACTGCAGCCCCACTGCAGCCTATGCCATCGCCAGTGAATCACAGCAGCCCAGCTCCACGTCGAGCTGTTGTTCACCATTTTAGCTGTAGAGGGCGCAGTGTCACTGACCCATGTGGTATCTGAACCGGCGACCCTACTGCTCAGAGCCCAAGCTCCCAAGCCAACTCAACCAATGAGCCACTCAGCCAGCCTCCTGACTTCAATTTATACTACAGAGCGACAATAATCAAAACAGCATGGTATTGGCAAAAAAACAGACATACAGACCAATGAAATAGAATAAAAAACAGACATACAGACCAATGGAATAGAATAAAAAACCCAGAAATAAACCCACATATATATGGGCAAATGAGCTAAAAACACACAATGAAGAAAAGAAAGCCTTTTCATAAATGGTGCTGGGAAAACTGGAAAGCCACATGCAAAAGAATGAAACCAGACTGTTGTCACCATATGCCAAAATTAACTCAAAGTGGATCAAAGACCTAAATGTAAACCTGAAACAATAAATTGCATAGAAAAAACCATACGTACTAAACATGGATTTGGGGTTTAGAGAAGGTTTTGTGACTTTGACCTCAAAGGTAAGGGAAGTAAAAGAAAAATGAATGGGACTATATTAAACTAAACAGCTTCTGTACAGCAAAATAAACTATTAACAAACAGAGGCAGCCAACTGAATGGGAGAAGGTATTTGCAAACAACACCTCTGATAAGCAGTTAATATCCAAAATATATAAAGAACTCATACAATTCAACAACAAATGACCGAACAATCCTATTAAAAAATGGGCAGAAGACCTGAACTAACACTTCTCCCAGGAAGACATACAAATTGCCAACAGGTATAAGAAAACATGCTCAACTTCACTAGCTATTAGGGAAATGCAAAAAACCACATGAGATACCACCTCACACCTGTTAGACAAGTAATAACAAGTATTGGAGAGGTTGTGAAAAAGGAACCCTTATACATTGTTGGTGGGAATGTAAATTGGTATAGCCACTATGGAAAACAGTATGGAGGTTCCTCAAAAAATTCAGAATGGAATTACCATATGACCCAGCAATCTCTCTTCTGGGTATCTACCCCCAAAATCTGAAAACATTTATCTGTAAAGATACGTGTATCTCTATGCCCACTGCAGCATTATTCATGGTAGCCAAGACATGGAAACAACCAAAGTGTCCTTCAACGGATGATTGGTAAAGAAGATGTGGTATATACACACAGTGGAATACTATTCGGCCATAAGAAAAGATGAAATAGTGCCATTTGTGACAACATGGGTGGATCTTGAGATTATCACGCTAAGTGAAATAAGTCAGATGGAAAAAGTTGAGACCCATATGATTTTACTCATATGTGGGATATAAAACTGAAAGCAACAAATAACAAATAAGACAAACAAATAAAAATTCATAGACACAGACAATAGTTTAGTGGTTACCAGAGAGAATAACGGGGGTGGGGGGTGGTAGAAGAGGGAAAAGGGGGTCAAATATATGGTGATGGAAGGAGAACTGACTCTGGGTGATGAACACACAATGATGTATAGATGATGTATTATAGAATTCTATATAATAAACCTATATA